TTCCTTCCTTCCTTCCTTCCTCCCTTCCTTCCTTCCTTCCTTCCTTCCTTCCTTCCTTCCTTCTTTTCTTTGACTGCCCATCTACCAGAAGGAACCCTGATACACACGAGGTTTCTTGTTGGAAGATACCCTGAAGCTGATTTATTAATCTGATTTGTTTCATATTTTTGATCTTGTTTCAGCAGTGGTCCAAATGAGGAAAGGATTAAGAGAAAGATGCAATATAATGCAATGAAATGAAATGGATACACTGTGTTCCGATAGCCAACATTATTGGAATTTCCCAGTTAGAACCGCTTTAAATCTCATTTTCCCATCCTCACCTGCAGCATCATTTTTAATACTTCCTCACATATTAAAAAGAAATTGAAACACACTTGAAATATAGAGGGATTTTCTATTCTGGGGAATAAATGGAGGTCATTATCTAGCTCTTTTCTTTCAAGTTTAAGGCAATTAATTACCTCTTCAATCTAGTTCTGGAGCTGTCACGGGCTGAGATGATTCATCACGTATAAAGATGCTTTTGCAAATATTTGCATTGCACAATAGAAAATTAGCAAGAAGGGCTTAGAAGAACTTACAAAGAATTTCACTGGTTCTTTGGCCAAAGGAGAATTCAAGAAGTCTTGAAAGGAAAAAGAAATATTTGGTGCAAGTCCTAGCCTGCTCTCTTCCTTGGTAAGCAACAGTAAATTCGAGACCTAGAAAAAAAATTAAGAGATATCATGTTTCATTGTGTGATTTTTATCCCATTTCTGAAGTTTGAGAAATAACTTGCACACTCAGTTTCTGGTACAATGTAGAAAGAATAGAAACTCACCCCGTTTCCTAATCCCATATACAAAACAAAAACAGTAACAACAGCGAAAACTCAAATACTCCAATTTTCATTCATTTAACATGTTTTAGGTTGAGTGAATTGTTACCTTCCCGTGTCATTTTCTTTGTGGGGGTGGGGTGGAGGGGGAAATGGCTTATTGTGTCAGATGAATCATAGAATGAAAGACGCTTAGGGCCAAAAAGGGGCCTTGGAGGTCTTCTAGTCCAACCCATTTTCGTGTGGAAAATGATCATTTTTTTTCAGTGCCATTGTAACAGTCACTAAATGAATTGTTGTAAGTCGTAGACTTGCCCATATTGCAGATGCCCAGATAGCATTTAAGGTAGCGTTTAAACTGAACAAACAGGCATCCACCACTACGCCACAACAGAATCATAACTCATCAGCTCACAAGATATTGGACCACGTCTCAACAGCCAGCCAAGCAAATAGCCCGAAACCTGACCATGACTCTCCCAAGGGTGCTTTTTCAAGAAGCACCTGGATTTTCTGGGTTTTTTTGAGGACATTTCGCTTCTCATCCAAGAAGCTTCTTCAGAGCTGAAGAAGCTTCAGAGCTGAAGAAGCTTTAGAGATGAGAAGCGAAACATTATCCTACTTGTTTTCCCCAAAGGCTGAACTTGGCTGATGATTTGATCTAGGATAGGGAGGGCTAACCTTTTTGTTATCGCCTGCTGAAAGCGCACACATGCCCCGCACCAATAATGCAATGCACACATGACACCCCACACACGCCCCGTCTTCTGTGCATGCCCATGAACCCCCGTTCTTCCCCCACATATGTGCATGCGACCCTCCCACCACCTCACACCCCATTTTGGGCCTAGTAGGCTTCCCTGCAGCCTCCTGGGACCAAAAATGGGCCGGAGGGGGAGTACGCATGCACACTCATCTCCCACATGCACCCTGCCCTCCGTGCATGTATGGCAGAGACCCAAGAATCAGCTGGCTGGTGGGAGGTGCATGCACATTTGTGGTGGAGCTGAGCTCGGGTGATGGCTAGCATGCCCGCAGAGAGGGCGATGCGTGCCATTTGTGGTACGCATGCCACGGGTTCGCCATCATGGATCTAGGGTGATCTTATTAAACCTGTGTTTTTCAACCTTGGCAACTTCCGGTGGTGGGCTTCAACTCTTAGTAGACCAGAGATGGCCACCATACTCGTGGCCAACACTGACAATTGAAGTCCAGACATCTGAAAGTTATTAATGTTGAGAAGCAATGCATTAAATCGCATTTTGAGAGCGCAGGATAATTAACAGGGAGAGCATCTTGCAATGACATGAAACAGATTCAAGTTCACCTCTCTTTGATCATCCAATTTACTGATGGAACATCGCTTTCCTATTGGATGTAATTGCTTTTAAGAGAGGGAGCAGATGACTTTGTACATCTGTGCAGACGGTCAAGGAGAAGGGAAAATTTGCCATTCCCCTCACTGTAACCAAACTAAAGGGACACGGTGGCTCAGTGGGTAAGCTTGTTGATCAGAAAGGTTGACAGTTTGGCGGTTCGAATCCCTAGTGCCGTGTAATGGAGTGAGCTTCCGTTACTTGTCCCATCTTCTGCCAACCTAGCAGTTCGAAAGCATGTAAAAATCCAAGTAGAAAAATAGGAACCACTTTTGGTGGAAAGGTAACAACCTTCCGTGCACCTTCAGCGTTTAATCATGCTGGCCACATGACCATGGAGACATCATCGGACAGCACTGGCTCTTTGGCTTTGAAATGGAGCTGAGCACCACCCCCTAGAGTCGGGAATGACTAGCACGTAAGTGCAAGGGGAGCCTTTACCTTTTAACCAAACTAAATTTTAAAAGATNCCTCCCTCCCTCCCTCCCTCATTTTCTTTATTTTAGTGATGGTATAAAAAATAATTGAGTGTGCCATTTGCATCTCAAAAAGACATCCATTACCTTAATATTTAGCATTAAACAGAATTGTAAAATTAAGGGCCACTCATCTGAGTCAGCACTGTTGCACCCAAACCAAAATACACATTTTATTTCAGGGTTAAAAAATTATCTAGTAATACCACATTTAAAAATCAGTCAAAAGCTATTTGAGGCAGCTGTTGATATGGGAACTAAGCACCTCGGATGACATCCATACGTTTCATCCTTGACTTGAAAGCTTTTTGTCTTTATTTTTTGGTTGACTCATACAATTTAGCTGAAGCAAACCCTCCAATTTTCTTCTCGGGGTAGCTTGAACATGCTGCCTTTCAGGGACTATTTTTGGGAGTAGAAATATTGCGCATCAGATTAGATGGAGATGATTCGAATCATTTCCTCATCTCGGAACTCTTTCAGATAGATGTGGGTGCTCCATCACTGGATGTTTTTAAGATGAGATTGGACCAAACATTTGTCTGCAATGATATAGGGTCGTGATGGCTAACCTTTTTGTCGTTGTGTTCCAAAAACGTGTGTGATGGTGTCCCCCATGCTCCTGCGCCCATATTTCAATGCGTGCACAACCCCCCCATGCATGCGTGTGACCCACTATGCTCTCCCCTCCATGCATGCCTGCTTGCAACCTCCTGGGACAAAAAATGGGCTGTGGTGGGGCGTCGCTCTCCCCCACACTCTCCCTGCGCATTCACGTGAGACCCCCACCCCGCGCATTGCGCACATCTCCCACATGCCCCTCATCCTCCATGCAACCTACTGGGACAAAAATGGGCTGTGGTGGGGCGTCGCTCTCCCCCACACTCTCCCTGCGCATTCACGTGAGACCCCCACCCCACGCATGTGCGCACATCTCCCGCATGCCCCCCCATCCTCCATGCATGCCTGGGAGAGACCCCCAAATCAGCTGGCCATCAGGAGGCATGCACGCATGTGCGTTGGAGCTGAGCTGGGGTTACGGCTCGCGTGCCCGTAGAGAGGGCTGTGCATGCCACCTGTTGCACACGTGCAATAGGTTCGCCCAGGTATAGGGTCGAGTAGGGGGGTGGAGTAGAAGACCTCTAAGACCCCTTCAGTTATTCTGTTATTCCTGAAACCCCACAAGCGTTAATAACCTCATAATCCTCCCCCGAAAACTTGAAAGATTTCTGCCATTTCACAGGGCCTCAGCCATTTCAAGAAGTTAATTGATGTCGTTTGGAAGGGTCTCTTGTCTGTCTTTACCAGGGATTGAATGCAGTTTCTATCTCGTGCTTTGCTCTCCTTGCCTTTCGGATTGCTGTAGAAATTAATTGTTCAGTCGGAATTTTG